CCCAGCCTATTGTTGGGTATTTGGGCCATTTCCAGGTCTTTGTCACTAATTAAGCACAGCCATCAATGCTGCATATGGATGCATGTGTTTACCTTTGTTGCTCCCTCAGTTTTTAAGGACCACACATCTGAGGCCAGGGAGGTGGAATGGCCTTCACAGGGTCATGAGTGGGCGAGACAGGCCTCCTAGCCAGGCCTCTGACCCCCAGCCCCTGTTCCTTCCTCCTGCCTGTACTGCCCTTCCTCCTGAGCAGACTTTCCTTCCCTTTTATGATTTTCTTTGCTTGCCTCTGGGCCTTCTGCAGCTTTCCCACATGTCTTTTGGAGCTTGAGACAAATCCTTCTGGAATGTCCTGTGCCTTCTCCCTCGAGTTCCCGGCTTTGTTCAATTGTTCACCAGAAATTCCTGCCCTGCTGGGAGGGGCCCAACAGGCTGTTAAAGAGTTTGCCAAAAATGGTGGTACCAACTTGGGTACAGCCATGTCTGAGGCTATGATCTCCTCCTGCAGATTTCAACTTAAATGAGAATAATGTGGATGTAATTTGGTGTGTGTGGAAGGGAGGGGATGCCACCCACTCCTAGCTTTATTTTCTGTATGGAGATAGCAAGGCTAGTCATAGGCAAACAGGAAAGATAATAGGAATAAAGTGGGACTCAGGAATGGGGCGAGGGCTGGGATGGTCTAAGGTTTAAAGGATTAGTTTCAGAGATGAGGAAAGGTTGGGGTGAAGCAAGGTCAGGAACAGGATGAGTGTGTCTATCTCACATGTTGTCGGATGCCATCAAGTCAATTTGGACTCTTAGAAATTCCATGTAACAGAGCTGAATTGCCCCATGGGGTTTTCTTGGTTGTAATCTTTACAGGAGCAGATCACCAGACCTTTCTTCTGCAGAGCAACTGGGTTGTGGGTTCGAACCACCAACCTTTTGGTTAGCAGCTGAATGCTTAACCATTTTGCTATCAGGGCTCCTTCTATTGTGCATGCACCTCAGTAATACAAATAATAAGCTGTGTTTATTTCCTAGGATCACAGAAGAGTGACAGCAAATGATCACATCAAATTTCTCTAAATACACAAAATGTTCTTTACTATCTATATCCAATGATCCCAGTGATGGAGTTCCTGGGTGGTGCAAATTGTGAAAAACTCAGCTTCAAATCAAAAAAGTTGGAGGTTCAAATCCCCCCAGAGGTACCTAGGAAGAAAGGCCTGGTGGTGGTGGTGGTGGTTGTTATGAGCTGTTGAGTCGGCCCCGACTCATAGTGCCCCTCCTTGGGTTTCTGAGGCAGTATCACTACAGAAGTAAATTGCCCAACCTTCCTTCCAAGGAGTGGCTGGTGGATTAGAACCGCCAGCCTTCTGATAAGCAGTCAAGTGCCTTAGGCACTATGCTACCAGAGCTCCTAGGCCTGGTAATACGCCTGGTGGTATACTTCTGAAAGATCACAGCCATTGAAAACCCTACAGAGCACAATTCTTCTCTGACAGACATGGGATTGCCATGAGTCAAAATCAACTCCACAGCAACTAGCTTGGATTTTATTTTTGTTGCTATGCCCAGTGATACCAAACGAGGCAGGGACTATTGAACTGAGCAATTGAGACTATAGGTGCCGTTTGAGGGAAATGTCTTCCTCTGTTTACTATTTACTAAAAACAGCATATTCCAGGTTCACCCTGTCATAGTCAAAACACTTAAGGGGCAACCCAAACCCCCAAGTACCAATCATTCTTTATTTAATTTATTGCATATTTTGGAGGCCAAGATCTGTCCCTCCTTAATTTGGAAGCTATTCAGTAAATACTGAGAAACTGCACTTTGGCTGGAAAAAGTATTGGTTGAAGGTCAGAGCCTTTGGTTTGAATCCTAGCTCTGCTATTTACCAGGAGTGAAAGCTTGGGCAAATCACCTTCTCTCTGAGTCTCAGTTTTCTTCTCTGTAAAATGGGGTTGGAGTTGTAGTACAACTTAGTCTCACAGGATGAACAGGACTGAGAGCCTTTGTTTCAGGCCTTAGCAGGATGCCTGGCACACAGCATGAGTGCTCAATAAACCATGGTGTCCTTCCTCAGGTGCAAAGAATTTTCCTCGGCCACCCCCAGCTGCCGGGAGCCCTAGGCCACCTCTATGCACAAGGTGAATGCCACAGCAGGCTGTGGAATTGTTCTGCAGCCAGCATGCTGCTTCCTGTTTACATGGACTCTGCAGATGTGCAGCTTGAACAGTGGACAGTGGGGACTTCCTGTGGCCTCCACGTAGCCACAGGGAACAGAGGGCCTTCTCTACCTAACAGGCTTGTCTTCTCTGGACTTGGGCTGAAGGACTTGTAGAAGGGATTCATGGGCAGTGAGTATCCATCCCAAGTATAATTTGGGCCAAGAGCAGAGATTTTGTCCCTAAAAGGTACAATCTGATCCCCAGTCAATAGGCAAACCTCTGTTGAGCACCTACTATGTAATGAGACAGAGAAGGGAATGTGCTGTCCTGCTGCATGTTGGACCCAGGGAGGATCCCCCTTATTTCCCAGAGATGGCAGTGGATGTGAGAATGAGTTGTATGGGTCAGGGATTTGGTACCCTCATCCTTCCTTCTGTTCTGGGACCACTATGGCAATCTCACAGTGGGGCTATTCAGGCTTGCCACCTTCTTTGCTTGACCATAGGGCCAGACCACAGCAGGCCACTGCCTCCAAGCATCATGGAACCTTGTAGACTTCCAGGTTCTACATTATTTCTGGGTCAGCCCCATTCCACACAGGGAGCTCTTCTGAGCTGCTATTGACCCTTCCACCACCAAGGAGGTGAGGAAAGCTCCAGCACCAGGGACTGGGTCTGAAGTTCATAGTCACATAGAAATAGGTCCCAAGACCTGAAAGAGCCCCTGGATAGCCTGAGAGGGTGGCTTAGGACTCAGACCTGAATTCTTAGGGGTACTCTCATTCTTCCCTTGGGAAGCTTCAGGCCTGGCCTGGGACCAGGAAGAGAGGCTAGAAATATCAGTGCAGAGAGGGCTCTTTGAAAGTCCTTAAGTGGTATACCCCATTAGCAACCAAAAGGTTGGCGGTTTGAGCCCACTCAACAGCACTGCAGAAGTAAAGATCTGGTCATCTGCTTCTGTAAAGATTACAGCCAAGAAAATGGAGCTATGGAGCTACGGAGCTCAGCTCCCCTCTATAATGCAAGAGGTCGCCATGAGTCAGAATCCACTCACTAGCAACGGATTTGATTTTTTTGTTTGAGAGGGCCCTTAGAACATCAAAGCTACCCTCCTCATATTATAGGGGGAGAAATTGAGGCCTAGAGAGTGGGGTGGCATGCCTAAGGTCTCAGAGCAGGTTGGTGGCAGAGCTGGGCAGGAATCTGGGTCTCCAGAGTCCCTCAACTGGCTGGGTGGCCTGTGGGGCCAGATTTCCCAGCACCTGGATCCATTGGGTCTCTGAAGGTTTATAGACCTTGGTGACCCAGGATACCTTTTCTTAGACATTCTCAGCAAGAAGAGCAGGTAGGGAGAAAAAGAGACTTCCTCATTTGGATGCTTTCAGCCCTCATTTGCCCCAGACAGAACTACTCTCTTCAAAGATGACCAGAAAGATCCTTTGTCCACCGGCAAGTGTCCCTGGCTGTTTGTTCCCACATCCTTCACACTGTTGTAGTTGTTGTTGTTTTGTGCTGTCAAGAATTTTCAACTCATTGTGGTCCCTTATGATAGAGCAGAACTGCCCCATAGGGTTTGCTGGGCTGTCATCTTTACAGGACCGGATCATCAGGTCTTTTTCCCAGGGAGTTGCTAGGTGGGTTCAAACGCTAAACTTTTGGTTAGCAGCTGAGTGCTTAACTGTTGCTCCAACGGGACTCCTTACCTCTCACACTTGTTGTTGTTATGTGCCATCGTGTCGGACCCAACTCATAGCGACCCCTCCTTGGGTTTCCAAGGCAGTATCACTACGGAAGTAGATTGCCCAACCTTCCTTCTGAGGAGTGGTTGGTGGTTTTGAACCACCAGTCTTCTGGTTAGCAGTCAAGTGCTTTAGCCACTATGCTACCAGAGCTCCTACCTCTCACACTAGACCCCTAGAAAACTCTTCCTATGTCTACCTTCCAAAAAAAACCCAAACTCACTGCTGCTGAGTCAGTTCCAACTCATGGTGACCCCTCCTTCTGTTACTGAGGTGGTATTTCTATGGAAGTAGATTGCCCAGTCTTCTTTCTGAGAAGTGGCTGGTGGGTTTGCACCACCAGCCTTCTGGTTAGCAGTCAAATGCCTTAGGCACTACACTGCCAGAGCTCCTATGTCTCCAGTAATTAAAACCACATCTTTAAAAGAATAAATATACACATAAAGTACTTAGAACACTGCCTGGCATGTACTAAGTACTCTGAGTGTTTTCTATTATTATTACTATCGTTATGATTGTTACTACTTCTACCTTTTTACCTCCATGGGGCTGTGCTAAAATTATCAACAATCAGAAAAGAGAGGAGTGTGGTTGAGGATTGAGAATGAATAGCCTCTCCGTTTTCTCGCATGGGCAAACTGAGGCTAAAGGAGGCTGGGAACTTCCTCAGTAGTCCATTCGAGATAGCAAGCAGAGAATCCAAACTGAGACCTGAGACCTGCATGTTGGACCTGCACATATTTTTGTTCAGCCCACAGAGCACTATGACATTCTGAAGTAATAACATATAAAACTCTGAATTACTAGCTTCACTCGAAAAGGCAGCAACCCACTCGAGAACTGGGTAATGGCTGCTGTTTGTAGATCAGTTATTCCTTCCTCACTTGGCTACAGTCGCCACCACTCCCTGCTGCCCCCACCCAGCCCAATTCACTCATTGAACTTTCAGCTTCCTGGCCCCTCAGGCCCTTGAGTTTGTAACCTCCAATCTAAATGACTGTTTCCCTTCAACCAAGGCTGGTTAGCAGTGGTTTGCCACAGACATTTTATTCTCCACGACTGTGACCTATGTATGTGTGCCCATTTCACAATTGGCATTGGTGTCACCACCAGTTAGAGGGTTTGGGGATGGGCTCAGGGGCACTCCACCCTGAGCGGATTGCTTCCCAGAACTTGGGCAGACGACTTAAGGAAAAGATACCGTTGCCAAACAAGGGGAGCTCAGGCAGCTTCAGCCCTGGCCTCTGCGGGAGAGTGGGAATGAAGTTCTGGCTATTGACTTGGCCCATGTAACCAACATTGGTGGCATCGTCCATCGACTGCAAAGCACAAGTACCCCTGGTGGATGGCACCACAGAGGTGTTGTTGATAGAGCTAGACTGGTCAGAAGTGGCCGTGATGGTGCTGGGGTCTAATTGAGTGTATTGGGAGGAGTGGTCCAGTTGGTCCAGGTGGAGGGAGTTGGTGGCTCGTTCCAGGTAGTTAGCTGCAAGCCGTGGCAGGCTCAGTGCTGTTTTGGGGCAGAGGGTGTGGAAGGAATTGGTGGATCGGTCCAGGTAGTTGATGCCTTTGATGAGCTGATCCAGGAAGGTAGGGCTGGAGGGGACAGAGGGACGATCTGTGCAGAGCAGACAGTGGGGGCTCCCTCGGCAGGCTGGCTTTCGGGCCACCTTGGGGGGGTTTGCCAGATGGCTTGTCTCCACACACTTGGAGTTGTAGGGCCGGCCCATGCAGATTTGCCCCAGTGTGAGTCTGGGGGAGGTGGGGCTGGTTGACCTCTCTGGGGGGCTGCTGCTGTTGCTGAACTCTGAGCCACTAGGCATGCGGGTGCGTTTGAGGCTGTTGGCCCCAGTGAGGCCGGAGCAGTGGGTCCAGCCTGAAGTCCGGGCCGGAAGGGACATATTGTTAGGATGATTCAGGCAGTTGTAAGTGTTAGAACGGCCCACGTGGCGCCCAGACATTGTCCACACCTGGAGGTTGGTTACCTGTGCCTGGTGAGGAGAGAGGAAGGTCAGCTCACTTCAGCTCCCTGCCGCCTCCCACTAGACTTCCTCTCCAGGTGTCCTCTGCTCCCAGAGATCCAACATCTCCTTTTCCTCTCTCTCTCCTTCCTATCTCCAAACCAAACCAAACCCACTGCCGTCAGTCGATTCTGATTTGTAGCAACCCTATGGGACAAAGTAGATCTGCTCCACAGAGTTTCCAAGGCTGTAAATCTTTACAAAAGCAGATTGCCTCATCTTTCTCCCATGGAGCTGCTGGTGGGTTTGAACCACAGTTCAGGACTCCTCTTCCTATCTCCAGGTCCAGGGATTTTCAAACTGGAAAACTGACATGCCAGTCTTCAGAAAACCCAAAGAGAAGGGCAAGAGAAAGGAAGGAAGACAAGACCTGGAGACCAACCAAAGCCAGAAGGCTGCCTGGGAGAAACTGAGCAGCCTCCTTTACCCTTTCACGCTCACCCACATTCTGAAATTTCCATTCGTCTTTTAAGCAGGAACTCCAGAAGGCCACAAAGGCCAAGGACTGATTCTCTAGTGGTAAAATTCCAAGCACTGAAATAGGCTTTGTCCAGAATTTCATCAAAGCTAAGATAAAATAGCTTGTAAAATATTATCTCACTGTAATTTTATGTGTGGCCAAGAAAAAAATCCACTGTCAAATAAACTACAAGACTGTATCAACTAACTGTACCATGCCCCCTGATATTAAAAAACATGGTTTGGAATCAACACAATAATCTATTGCGCTCTCATTATGTGTCTGGCCCTTTGCTATACATCTTACATGGATTATCTTATTTAACTCTCACTACAAATCAAAGTGGTAGCTACTATTTTACTCATTGTTGACATATGGGGAAACTATGCCTCAAGAGAGATGATGTAACTTGCCTAAGTTCACACAGCTTTTAAATACTGGGGCTGAGGGACCATCTCAGATATATCTAATGACCTCTAACAGACACTGCTACATCATGGGGTGGCCTTGGTGCCCCTTACAGTCTACTATGGTTGAATTCTCACCACCCCTGCTCTGGCTGCTTGGACAGGGACACTGATGGGGAGCAGCAGGATGTAGGATGTATTCCTATAAGTAAGTATATCCTGACTTTGGAAACCCCAAATGAGGGTAGCGGGCAGATAGTGTGACAAGTCTACTGATGGGGCTGTTATTTGTGAAATCAGAACCCTTCAGGGTATTTGGTCTTGACCCTCTCTGACCATGGAAGACCTCCCTGCCCACCCCACAAAAGGAAAGGATGTTAGGATCCCCACTTCTCCTGGTCCAAAAGTGGATACTTCATGGGGGCTTAAGGCCTTATCAGGCAAAAGAGTATATCAACCCCTTTAACCCCACCCCCTATCACTGGTCTGCCAGGGCCCAGCACAGAGCAATGTGGTCCCTCTGCTCCCCAATGTCCCCCTTGCCTCCCAGCCAGAATGAGGGCTCTGACTTCTCCCCCCAACTACTGCCAGTTGATGCTAATTTTCCACTTCTACTCGTGAGAACAGAGCAGTATTTGGGCCTGTCCCACCCAGAAAACAGCTGCCCGCCTCTCTCCCAGCCTGTGGCCCAACAGCTGCCCCTGTCCTTTGGATCTGAATTAGGTGGAATGTCAAGACCCTCGCCTCTTCCCTCCCAGGTCTAACCCCACCCAGTCTCCTCCTCTGGAAAGGTAAGAGATGACTTATGGCTGAGCCCATAGGTCCCTGCCCTGCCCTCCTGGTGGGATGGACCCCATCTGCCACAAAGGACCCTCTCCCTGTCTCACTGTTTTAGGAGGCAGATGACTTAGACCTCCTCTTGCTCTCCTCTGGGCATACCCTCATGCCGCCACTCCAGACTGCTGGCCATGTCATAGACTCACGGAATCCTGGAGCTGGGAGTGGCCCCTGAGGGTCATCCAGGTCATACTCCTGCCTGAAGGCCAGCACCATTTTAATCCCTTGAGGACAGATGGGCCTTATTTTTAAAACGAGGCTGGGGTGGACATTTTCCAATGTTCCTTGTTGGTTTCATAGGGTTTAATTATGCTGAGAGTCAGGAAGTTTGTGCCAGGTCTAATATAACCCCACTTGGTGTGGTCAGCAGTGTTTTCACCTCTTTTCTCATTGGATCAGCAAATATGGATGGAGTCTCCCTTAAGTGCTGTGACCCATTCTTGGGCACAAGAGTAACTCTTTTCCTCCCTTCTTGCCTCTCCCTCATGTGGTCAGCAGTCTCGTGTTGAACACCTACTGTGTGCTGGGCTCTGGCTGGAGCCTGACGATTCTTCCAAAAGCAAATCTCAGCACTCGTTTTAGGACCCCACATGCTCTGCTCCATGGCGGGGGGTGGGGGGTGGGGAGGGAGGCATGCAGCCATTTGTTGAAGGAATGAACAAAATTCCCATTTGAAGGTCTCATGGTATTAGCCAGGACAAGTCCCCTCTTTCATCCTTTGCTTTCCTCAAATTTTGAAAATACATTTTTATTTTTTAATTTGAAAAACTTTCACATTTACTGAATGCTGTGAGTTTATGTGGCATAGTGCCTAAGGCATTTGACTGCTAATCAGAAGGCTGGTGGTTCAAACCCACCAGTCACTCCTCGGAAGGAATGTTGGGCAATCTACTTCTGTAGTGATATCGCCTCAGAAACCCAAAGAGGGGTCGTATTGAGTCGGATCAGACTCCATGCAGTGAGTTTGTTTGTTTGTTTCTTTGGTGAGTTTACGTTAATGGTGGTGGAATAATTTGGAAAAGCACAGAGAATGGTTGAACCAGTTGATGAATGCAATCAGTGTCACTGACTTGCACATGTAGAAATTGTTGAATTGGTATATGTTTCATTGTATATATTTTCACACAAAAAAATTGATAATTTTTAAAATTCCTAAAAGCTTACGAGATAGTGATCTCCTTAACCGTTCATCTAAACATACTAATGATTAACATTTTGCCACATCTATCACTCCATATATATATGTATATACATATATAAACAGGAGCTCTGGTAGCATAGTGGCTAAAGCACTTGACTGCTAACCAGAAGGCTGGTGGTTCAAACCCACCAGCCACTCCTTGGAAGGAAG